GCGGAATTTGCCTCGCCTGTGCACGCGCGTAGATTTACTCGGTTGTGCACGCGCTCCTCAGCTGTGCACGCCGCTTGCTCGGCTAAATGAATGAATGGATGAATGAGGGACGTTATTAACACCCCCCCCCCCCCCCCCACCCTCCCAACCCCCCATCCCAACCCAACATCATCAATCAAACGCAGAGCGTCTGTGTGACGTGGTACTGTGGAAGCAATGAGCAAAAAGAGATCATCATGACTCAATTTGTGTGCGCGCAGGTGAGCGAAGTCTGTGTGCGCAGATGAGTTTGAGGTAACATGTACTGTTTAAAGAAGAATGTAATCGATGTGTGCGCAGCTGAGCGAACCCTGTGTGCGCAGGTGAATTAAATGTATTAAAAAGGGCTGTGTGCGCAGGTGAGGCGAATCTTATGTGCGCAAGTGAGGCGCCATCCATTTCGTGGCAGGGGTGGTACTTTGTGGACCTTGAAAGTTGAAGCGCAGATTTCGTGGCAGGGGCAGCGCTTAGTGGGCCTTGAAGTGCAGATTTCGTGGCAGGACAGTCCTTTGTGGGCCTTGAAGTGCAGATTTCGTGGCAGGACAGTCCTTTGTGGGCCTTGAAGTGCAGATTTCGTGGTTCAGAAACAGGCGCAGCACTTATCACCACCCACCACCATCGCCACCAATCGCCGCCAGTCGCCACCATCACCACCATCACCATCACCGCCGTCATCACCGCCACCATCATCGCCACCATCGCCGCCGCCACCACCACCACCACCACCACCACCCCCGCCGCCGCCACCACCACCACCGCCACCACCACCACCACCACCACCACCACCACCACCTCCTCTTTGCGCCCCAATGCGCCTAGATCTCTACACTTTCTGCACCTACACAGACCTCACACACACACACACACTGCTTGGAGCCTCTTGCCGGAGAGTTTTTGACCTATTCCATTCTTGTGCAAACCAGGTGACCTCACTGTGTCCTTCCGAGTTTGGGGTCGGGGGTTGGCAACGAAAGAAACGGCGAAAGAAGTTAAGGGGGTAATACTTGATGCTATCTTTAGAAGGGCATCTGGACGCCTGGACCGTTTGGACCTAAAGCGCGTCGTCGCTTTACGTGTCCTTAAGCCTTATTGAATGACACGGGAAACCGCAGTCAAATTGAACCAAGCACTATGTATATACAAATAACATAATCGCAATTTTTTCCAGTCGGTTTTGGCTTGCCGCTGCTGTGTGCGGCTGCTGCGCCACGTTGTCTTCCCACTTGTCTGTCTCCTTACATGTCTTGCCACTGGTCTGCTTGCGCAATGGCCGTTTTGGTTTGAAGCTCCTAGGCTACCCTCCAACCGTCCAACCGGAGACTCGACCACCATGCGCTGACCAGCATGGGTGCAGCTTTCCTTGCTTGGCTGCTGAAGCTGCTCCTGACCATCTTGGACTGCCCGGTCCCAATGCCGGCACCTTCTCGTTGATGGCCGTCAATTATGCTGACGAGTGGCTGGGGCATGCTATTTGACACTTCTTGTTCCACACCAAAAATACATGGTACAGGGCACGTAGATCCGCAAGGGAAATCCAAGGGCCATGAAAAGACTTTATAGAATCGGATTTTGTCTCTACCGCGGACATACATGTCCGTGTCCATCAAGCTTCTCTGGCCCTTGCTGCTGATGTCCTCCGGGCACAGCCTCGTTTGACCATCAAGCAGGCAATTCTTTTGGGGCTTCCTGCCACCTGCATTTGTGCAGTTGGAGTGATTGGCTGGGTTGATGGGAGACAGCGTGATGCGCACGAGTTCTGGAAGGCCTTATGCAACCACCTGCCTTGATTGGCTCGGGCCCGGAAGATGCAAACAGAGGGGAAAGTCAGAATCATGGACCGTGGCTCAGCACTTCCACCTTCCTTGGTCGCCAGTGACGCTGCGTCGGCTGCGCCCAAAAGGTTTCGCTGCAATCCCTGATCTGCGAGCGGCGCAACTATCTTGGAACGATCGCAGCTTTTGGTTCCTTGATTTGATATGAAATTGACCGTCTGATGCCCAAGGTGTTGTGGAGAAAGCTGCATGGATCCTGGATTTGAGCAGTTGAAGTCCTGATCTCACCTGCTCAGGGCAATCTCACGGCCAAGGCTTTTGAATACATGCCCGTAGCAGGTGTCTTGCACTCTTCAGTGTGGGTCTCACAGATGGTGGCCGCTGGGCTCGCTGACTGGGTTTCTGTTTGGCTCCTTCGTTGCCAGATTTCGATTGGTCACACCCTCCTTTTTTGTACGTGGACATGATGCCCCCGTGCGCAAGCTCATGTCTAGATCTTGAGGCCGACGAAGCCTTGACCAGGTATTTTGGCGCCCACTGCGGCGCATGTGCTCAGCTCTTTCGGGACGCTCGGCGCTTGGCAAGACATAATATCTTTCAGAGGCATTTTCCATGTCGATGGCGCGTGAAGAACGATTGGGATTGGCCATTGCCCTTTTTGTGGAGCGGTGCCAGTGTTTGTGGGGAACTGGCAAAAGCTTACTTTGGGCGTTGGTGAAGCGTGGCCCTACCCCTCACATCTACTGCGCGGAGCCGCCTTGAGGGCAGCTGGCTGGAGGACCACAGAGCGGAAAGTGAGAGCTGGCTGAATCTGAGCTAAGGCTTTTTCGTGTCTGACGCTCGAGTTTTGGTTGAGTTTTGAGTAGGTGTTGAGCCCTGCAATGAGGCACCTGACCTCTGTGTTAAAAAATTCACGTTGGACCCATAGCTCCATGACATATGGAGATGACGCCGAAGCCCCAAAAACGTTCAGCCGCTTGAGTTTTTTGCTATCTGGGGTCTTTACCGGTGTTATTCCCCAGACAGCGACAGCTATGGGGTTCTTACTTCAAAAACAATGAGCTGGCTGCGCGCGCTTTTGAGACAGGTGCCGGTGCCGACTGTGGTGTTGGCCGGTCCCGGGTGCTGGTGCTGGGTGCTATGAGCTGGCAGTGCTCGTGGTGTGCTGGTTGCTGGGTGCCGGTGCTGGGTGCCGAGCGCTGGGTGCTGTGAGGTGGGTGTGCGCGTGGTGGAAACAGGGTGCCGGTGCTGGGTGCCCGTGCTGGGTGTTGGCTGTGCGCGTGGTGGAGTGAGCTGGCTGTGCGCGTGTGGAGACTGGGTGCTGGTGCTGGGTGCTGGTGCTGGGTGCTGTGAACTGGCGTGCCGGTGCATGGGTGCTGGTGCTGGCTGTGGTGGAGATTGGGAGCCTGTGCCGGGTGCTGGTGCTGGCTGTGTGCGTAGTGGGCTGTAGTGCGGCGTTTTTTTCCGGCGTCAAGCAGGTTCCTGTGTGTGCTTTGGAGCTGCCGCCAATGCAGTCCAGAAAAACCTTTTGCATGTTTTTGCTATCTGGGGTTTACGCTGGTGTAATTTTTGTTTTAGCAGTGTTGGACAGATCACATTGGTTGGAGGTGGGGCGCCTTGACAGCGGTGAAGTGATGCACCTTCGGCACTGAAGTGGCGTATGGTGGTGAAATTATACAAAGTTGTTGGGCGAGCGGTGACAGGGTTTGTTTCTAAAACTGATGTAGGTGTATGTATTTGAAGTAGTGTGTTTCCGTATTTATTTGTTGTGACAGGTCAACTTGGCCAAAAGAAAGTCGCACCAAACTAATCTTCACGGACCAAAACTGAAACCCGCGAACCCGAATGGAAAACAACTTAAATATCTCAAACCATTTGACTCTTTTGCTTGACAGTCTCTTGTGTGACACACTTGCAGGACACTGTTGTGAGATAGAAACTTGTCTGACATCCTTGCTTGACGCTCTTGCACCTTGACATTCTTGTGAGACACAGGTTTGTGTGACACTCTTGCTTGACGTTCTTGAAGGAGAGTCTTGCGCAACGCTCTTGAGGGGAACGCTGGACACTTGTCAGGCACTCTTGTGCGAGACTCCTGAAGGACACTCTTGCTTGACAGTCTTGCATGATGCCCTTATGCGACTCTCTTGCATATAGGACACTGTTGTGTGACACACTTGCTTGACACATCTTTGTAGGACGCTCTTGCGCGACACTGTTCCAGGGCACGAACAGTGATTGTGCCACACCTTCACACGCTTCGGAAAATTTGCAGCACACCCAGCGCACGTTTGGAAGGACTTCAAAGCGTGGAGTTATGTAAACGAGAACCCTTGGCTATGCCGCTATGGATTGAGCACCATCAGCTGTCGGGCGTGCAGGTGTAATTTACATGTCGGTGGTACTTCCACGCCACTTGTTGTTTAGTCTTCACATTCACACCGTCATCTAACACCACGGGTAGAAGGTTTGAGTTTGCTGTCGCACACTTCTCAACGTCACAACAGATCACGTTGGCATCAGGCAATGACTTTACATATTTTAGAAAGTATATATTATTATGTTGCATTGATTGCAACTTTGCCCTTCACTGTTGCATGTGCTTCTTCGGACCTCTGAAACAACATCCCAATTTCAGCTGGTTGTGGCATGAACTTTGTTTGCTGTGCAAGGAGCCACAGCTTTCTGACGCTCAGTGCTGTTTGTGACAAGATGGCCTTTGTCACGCATTTTGGCTTAGACTTTTCAGCATATATACTCAAATCAAACATGCGCTGCACCCACATAAAGCTACCACTTTGCATCAACCGTTCTGCATCGTGGTTTGTTGGAAGCAGACATGCACATGTATTACACTGCGTTTAGTTTTTGGTCAGAAGAATGAACGAATTCTTCTACTTCTACCAGGTCAAGCTAGACTCTAAAGCGAGTCATGGGCATCGCTGAAAAGGTTCAGCTCAAACTTGTGGTGAATATCAAAGCACATGCGGTCTACTGCAGTTGTGGTTGGGGAAGCACAAAGTCTGTAACAGTAGTGTGAAAAGCTCGGCCGCTCTGAACAGTTTTGCTTTGGGCTCCAGGAGCCAGATAGTCCGAATATGGTAGGTAGGTAGAACAGTAGAACACATCTAGAAACTGAGTTGCAGGAAGATCTAGAACCCAATGTATTCACAATACAATTCTCACAACTTGGGAAGCACCTTGGAAGAACATGGCGGATAGTGATGATGAAATGCCACCCTTGGAGTATGTTGGCACTGGGGTCACTGGGGGTAACCCAGTGACAGCCTCGATTGAACCTGACGATGACATGCCTCCTTTGGAATACGTTGGCACGGATGCATCTCTTGGCATCAGTTTGAGGGAAGGTGACAGGGTCATCTTGAAGGGGCTGTCGAAAGCAGCCTTGAATGGCCAGACTGGAACGCTTCAAAGCTTTCAGAAAGCATCAAAAGGGCGTTTGCCAGTGAAACTAGACAGCTCCGGGTCAATGTTAGCTGTCAAGCCAGAGAATATCCAAAAGCTGCCAAGAGAAACTGTCACTACAAAGGCCACCAAGATGAATCCAGATTTTGGCGTGGCAACTGCCAAAGCGACCCATGCGGATAGGAATGCGACTTATTCAGCACCTGATGAAGATGATGAGCTGCCTCCTTTGGAGTATGTTGGTACATGTGACATATCGAGCAGACCAAACGGAGTATCAAATGATGCGAAGGTTGAGGATGACGAAATGCCCAGCCTAGAGTATTTTGGATCAAAGCCTCCCAGAATTGGCGGCGCAGAGGGGTGCACAGATGAGAAGACAAAGGAGGAGATGCCGGAAAACAGTACAAACAGTAGCAATAGCACTTTCCGAGACGGTGACCAAGTTCTGATAAAGGGCACCTTGACAGAGCTGGATGGCCAGCAAGGGGTCATCGAGAGCATTAGGGATGGCAGTTTTCAAGTAAAACTGGAAAGAAACCACAAGAACGTGGCAAAACTTGCGCATGGCAAGCTGCTCCAGAACTTGGCAGAGGCAAACCTGCACAAAATATGGCTACGTGGCAGTGGTGCTGGAGCGATGCCACCTTTGCAGTTCGTTGGCCAGGCCAGCTTTGCGCCACAGAATCGGGGACCTGCAGTAACGTTACAAGTCGTACCGTTTGCTTCGCCAAGTAGTGACTGTATAGTGGTTCATTGCAACATGCACATACGAGCGAGCCTTACACTGGGCAGTATTTGCAGGCAAATGGATCTGTGTGGCTGCCTCAGTTTCAGAATCACAATGAAGCACTCATCCCAAAAAGCACAAGGCACAATAGCTCCGTGCCAAATGGTCACGACGTTCGGGGACCCAATGTGATGCCTTCCGCCTTCCAATCACAGAAGCACAAGCTTCCTGTAGCTCCGAGGCCAAGGAGCCTGAGAGGCCTGGCACCTTTGTGTGCAGAAGCAATGGTCTCCAACCTAATAGATCTAATAGCGATGGCGTCCAACCTAATAGCGATGGCCTCCAACTCAATAGCGATGGCTTCCAACCTAATAGCGATGGCCTCCAACCTAGTAGCGATGGCCTCCAACTTAATAGCGATGGCCTCCAACCCTAATAGCGATGGCCTCCAACCTAGTAGCGATGGCCTCCAACCTAATAGCGATGGCCTCCAACCTACTAGGGATTGCATTCTCCTTGCTGAAAGGCTCCTCCCTGGCTCAGGTGGCGGGAGAGGGGCTGTGTGTCGGTACAGAAAACGGCCTAGAGTGAAAAACTATGCACAGAGGAGAGAACCAAGAGCAGGAAGACCGTGAGGAGGATGACAATGAAGAAGGTCAAAGCAGGGTCTCACGGGCCTTTCTAGCAAGCCGATTGCCGCCTTCAGTTTCTTTTGCAGCACATTCCAAGAGCCAACGGGCGGTGACCAAGTAAAGTGACCCACAGCTTCTTGTGACAATTCAAGCTTCACCAATTGTAAGCACAAGGTCGAATGCGATCTGGAAGGCATTGCTGACCACCTCTGCCACCTTATCCTGATGAGGAAAAGAGGGCCGATGCGAGAGTCCAAAGACACAAGAGCCAGCTCCTTGACGATACAATGCGCAAATCCGAGCACGGTGAATGTGCTGTGGCAGAACTGGGATACCACACAGAGAGACCATTTCGCTAAACATGGAAGCAAACTGTGTACGCACTCGTTCCAACAGTAACCAAAAGCCAGGGCGTCTGCAGAAGGCTTGGCCCATGCAAACGCTTGATCTGTGGGGGTACCCAGTCTATGCACGGGGATATAACTGTGCGTGAAGAACATGAAACTTAAAACCAATCCCATCCAAGCAACTCCTACCTCCACATGTTGTTGGTCAGCAGTCTCTGAGGACAAATGAAACTGACTCACCCAATCAAGCATGCACTCCAAGAGTGAGGTGCCCCAGTAGGAATGGCCATAAAAGCTGGCCGGCCGGGCAGCAGCCGCGTCAAGCCTCCACGAATCATTCACTCTCAAGCGGCAAACAGGGAAGGGATGAGGCTCTTGGGGGTTGAGCGAAGCTGGGACACAATGCTCATGCGCTACCTCGGAGGCAGCTGTGTCGGCGACCATGTTACCCAAAGCATGGTAGCGCTGCAAGTCAGGCATGTCCTTGGATTGGCATGGCCTTTGATTTGTTGAATGGTATTGAGACAAGCGTGAGGGATCTGTTGAATACGCAGATCTGGCTGTGGGTGCTTGTGCAACAGTTTACCAGTACATTGCTGAGCAGTCTCAAATGTGGATATGGCCGATCTTTACTGGGAACCCAGAACCCTTGCAGGCCGCGAGGACTTTAGCAGCCATAAACCACAATGGGAAGCCCTCAAGTTATGGACCCACTCGGATCAGGGACGAGATCAAGGCATCAGGTAATGAATTGAGTTTGAAAGCAGTGATACCATCAGGTCCTGGTGCTGCATTCCAACGCAAGGCCCGTATGACATCTTTCCAAGCAGCTAAGCTCTCTGAATCAATGTGAATGACATGATGAGGCAAGTGGTCAAGAAATTGGCCGAAAGCTTCATCCAAGTCTGGGTGGTTCAGGTGTGAGTCATCACGCTGCCAGATCGGCTGCCAAAAGTTTGTCAACTGATGGCAATTAACGCCGGCTGCTGCCCCTGTTCGGTATCAGGCAAGGCTTCGGAACACGAAACTATCATGGAGTGCTCACGAATCTCACGCGACCACCCTGGCTGGTGATCTAACATGACAGCTTGCCCAACTTGGAAGGCTGAGACATCCTCCACAAATGCTTCCAATCTTTCGGGCGCTTTTGCCGAAACCCAACGGGCCAAAGGGATCAAAATGGCCGCCTGCTCAACATTGTGCTCAATTGATTCAAGCTTGGGAGTGGCGCCAAGTAGAGAAGCAAAGGTCTGCTTATTATGGCCCTGAGTCTTGTCCAGTTTGAGTCGAAAAGCTTGCTTGTTCTGGAAGATCTTGCGATCAAGACACATAGCAGAATAAACTTCATGTTTCCACAATTGATCAAGATCATGTAGCCAGGATATGTCCGGCAAGTTCCATGGCGCCGGTAAGAGCTCAGGATGGTCACGCAACCACAGACAAAGGATCTCCCCTTAAAAGCAAATCTCAAGATCTTACGCCATTCAAGGGTCAGTGCCTGTACAAGATGGTCTTTATCAAGTTTACGCTTCAAGGACTGAATCCTACGTTGTTGCTGGATCACACTAGCCGTAGACACGCAATGGATCTGATGTGCGGGTTCGAAGTCGCCACTACGGGCTTTAGGCACAAGGGAGGAAATCAGCAATTGCTTTGGTTTCTGCGGCTGACATCTACCCCAAAATGCACGAGGCAGCGTTTCTGGGCAGGTCTGCGCTAACAGGAAGCTTCCAGAGGGCAACGTCCACAGTTGGATCAGCTCGATGGCCCCACTCCTCTAGGGAGTTGGGAGTTGGCAGTGTAGCAAGATCTGCGTCCGCCTGTTCAAGCAATTCACGCGGAATCACAGACTCCGTGAAAGGTTTGGGTTTGGGCCAAACTTGCTTATATAGGTTGCCTGAGATGCGCAGGTCAAAAAGTACCACCTTGTGAGCATCAAAGAGTGGTTCCTCCACTACCTGGATGGCGCGCAAACGTGGCAACAAGTCTGGTGACAGGAAAGCAGTATCAGGATCGGTAGCCTCTTTGCGTGTTGGAGGTAACGGGTATGCATACATGGAAGAATGTAGTTGTTGTACATGTTCAAAACCCCTGCTGGCCAACTTGTGAGCAGAAGACAATTTAGAAACATCAGCGTTAAAGTCTCCCATGATGATGGTAGGTAGGTCCACCTGCTGTGCTCTCTGGGTCGCCACAGCCAAAAGTTCGTCGTTGAACTCCTGCTGGGCACCAGTGTTGGATTGCGCCAGGCCATAGACAACGACAATCTGAAGTTTCCACCCACCAAGGATGACATGAAGAAGTCGCAAATCCATGCCAGGTTTGAGTGACTGTGGACAACGTGGCAATCGCAAAGGTGCAGGGCTGAAGCAAGCACACCCCATGGCTTTTCCTCGCAAGCTGATCTAATGGTCAACCCGTGCGCAAAGGGAAGGGATTGCGGTGGTGAAAGCTGAGAAATAACCCACTTGTCGCATCTGTCTTTGCGCCATCGCTTGAACAGGCTGTGTAGCACTGGTTTCAGAGGCGGCAATGAAGTGACAATGGAACTGTTCTCGTAAGGCATGGAAGGCATCAGCCTTGTTTGTCAGCGACGTGGGATTGCAAATGGCAAATCGAAGGTCATCAGGACCAGGATTCTGAGCCTCTCCAAATCGAATTCCATGACCAAGAGCACGCCGGAACAGCTTAGCAGCTTAGCAGAGAAAGGACGTGTCGAAAATGCATGTAACTCACAAAAGCATGCAGCCAGCCCCACACCGAGTCCACAGTGAATTCACGGCCGCTCTAGGGCTTCTTCTGCCCAAGATTCTCCTGCCTCGAGGGTAGTCAGTCCCTCGTGGATTGCCGGGTTCTCCGCGCGCGTAGTCTTGACCAAGCAAGCTTCCAGGGCCTGGGTGGTCTGCTGGAGCAGGTTGGTGCCCAGCTGAATGAGGTGCGGAGAGGTGACCTTTTGATGCTTCAACGTGGTCTCAGTTGGCTGCTCAGTCACCATGATGCCGGGTTCGTCCCTCGACAAGAGCTCCCCCGAATCCAAGGAAGGGTGTGTTCCATGCGCGACAGAAATACACCTGAAGCTCGAGGCGCAAAGGATGTCAGCTGCCCCGCATTGGAGTCGTCCTCATATTGAGGGTATATCCTTTCATGATGACCACGTTCGCCAGATTAACCTGTCACGGCTTCTTCTTCAGGGCTTGGATCTCTCTGGAGGAATTCTGGGAGTCGACTGCTCCCAGTCTCTTGCGAGGCAGTTCCAAACCGATCTGCTTCATAGCGTTGACGGTAGCCGTTGCGCGGGACTCCTTTTTCCCATTCATCAAAGCCGTAACAGCAGAGTGCCCCAGGTGATGAAATAGACTGTCAACAGCCTTGGAAATCTGATCTGAGTCATACTGAAGGTGCAGGAGGGAGCTGGCCACCTGATTTTTCAATGTGATGACTTGAGGATTCTTGCCTCCACCACTGCCGCCGCCCTGAATGCGCGTGACTATGTGCACGTAAGCCTTGCCCTGCTGCGCGCGTGGTCGCCGCTGGGCCGCGGCTGCCGTTTGCGTGGCAAGGCGCAGCGCTCGGTGAAGCTGGAAGGGAGATTTCGTGGCAGGCGCCGTGGTCGCCAAAGTGGTGAGAATCTGAAGCTCTTGCTGCTGGTTGCAGTCTTTTGGCAGAGAATCCGTGGATCAGCCGAATTTCCTCACCTTGCAGGACAGCGAGCCACACGGATCTGCGAGATCTCAAGATTCTGCTGGTGATGTCCTTCCCAAATCAACCTCTTACGCCACTTGAATTCCACAAAGCTCAATAGCCCACCAAAGCTGGAATTGTCCTGGCGGCAGTTGGCTTGCAAAGTCGTTCAGTGACATTGAAAGTGGCTTCTGCCGAATCACAGTTCACTTCGAGGTGGAAGCTTGCCCTGCCCTCGTTCGTGAGTGAGGGTTCCCAGATCGTAGCCCAAAGCTGACAGCCCGCCAAAGTGCCAGTACCCGAGATGGAATGGAAGTCCTTCCGGTGGTCCCAATGACGCAAACAGTTGACCTCCTTCATTTCCTCCAGCGGAGCAGCCATGGACAGCCGAGTATGAGTCCAGCTATGAAGTGTCAAGAACATATCCTGCACCACATTGGCCCTCAAAGGTACCAGATCAAATTGGTCGTGCCATAGAAGATCTCCTTCTTCCTCGGTAAGCAAGCTCTGGACCATCTCTCTTTTGTGGATGAAGCGAAACTCAAACAGGTCACGCCTGAGAACAGGAATGCAAAAGCCAACCGGATCTGTCTCCCAGTCATTGGGTGGCTCAGATATTGGAAAAAAGCGATCTTGGTCATCAAGTTCTGAGGGGTCTGATTCAGGTCTTATTGTGCTTTTCCACAAGGCCAACACAGCTGTGACCGAGGTGTCACGCTCAACCATGATCTGCTTTGGACAGCCCGCAAAGATCACCCTGCAACGATATAGGAGCCTCATTGGCATTGCGCCAACTCCCCCGGTTAACGTGAGGCAAGTCAAGTGAGCCGGTTCCAGGGGCGAAGACAGTGTACGTCCACCAAAGGTTGTGTGTTGTCAGCGTATGCGTGAATCTTGGCCAGACCCAACTCAGGCATCCAGAAGTAGCCTGACGGCAACTGTACCATATCTTCCTGGAAAAGCTGTTGCGCATTGTTCTCACGCAGGAGGAAGCGTGCGTGCCGGTTCATCCAAGTAGATCCGGAAGGGAATACTTCCTGAGCAACTCAGAGGCCTTCAATCTGTGTTGGTCGAAGTAGGTCCACAGTTCTGACCACAATCTCGCTCCTTCAACATGTTGAGGCCTTGGGTGAGGCATGGCAGTCTGGTCAGCCAGGCCCTTCCAGTTCTGTTTAAACTGCTGATCAGTCCAAAAACCACACATGAATGACAGCAATTTCCGCTGGGTGCCAAAATCTGAAGGCATCATCAGCACCTACTGTCTGCAACAAGTGTGCAAAATAGCTTCGATTCTCAAGAAGCTCTGTGTGAAGCCGGTGCTGATTGCGATACTGTGCCATGAATGTTGGAAGGCACTTGTCCGTGGAGAGAAAAGTATGGGAGGCAACCGCTTCATCTTCTGTGCACCGTCGCGTGGCTTTATGAGCTGGCCCGAATGCAGTCTGAGGGAGTCAATAGACCATGATGACAAAGCAGGAAACTGGATGCCCTCCTCATGGATGAAGTATGCCACTCCCAACCAGCAAGCTCGTTTGACAGGCATCAAATCACCAAGTTCGATGACGGGCAAATCTCAGCTGATACCCTGCAAACCAAAAAGCTTTCTCAATCCAGCTCCGATGGGGATGAGAGTGAAAAGCCGCCACCTGTTCGGTCAGGATTATCTTTGGACGGAGAATCTTACATACCCCAACCAAAAGCCCTCATGAAAAGTTGTGTAGGCCCTTCTAGCTAGCTGCTCCACTGCACGGAGGACAGGGCGCAGAAATTGTGATCACCTCAACGCCCAGCAAGCAACAGCGTGAAGCCACTGAGAGTCTAAAATGTCCCCATGGATGCAAAAGCCTTCTGGGAATGAGAACAAGAACAAAGGCGGAAGCTCTTGAGCAGCTGAGAGTAATGGACACCTCTGTGACAGAGCACACGTCACCTGGCAGCATGGTAGCCTAACCTCAATGCAACCGGACACCGCAGGAACATCCGCTTCTGCCAAAAGTTGGCATGCGTAGCCCCATCCTCCCCAGGCGCCTCCAAAGAAGTGAAGTACTGGAAGCGCTCCCGAACTATATGCTTCGCCAGCGGCAGAATGGAGGTGTCATCATCTATGGAAAGACAGCCCTTGTGCTCTGGACCAGGGTAGTTAGCGGCGTTCTATACTTAGCATTTGTTCTGAGATCCACAAATGCTCAAGCCATGGAGGCCTGACTTCTGTTCAGCTTTCCAGACAAAGGAAATGGATTGTGGCATCTCACTATCATCACCAATCCAAACGCTGTCCATGTCCAGCTGTCGTAGACCTCTTCTGCAGGTGGCCTCGAACAGAAAGTGATCGTCAAAGGATTTCAGAGCCAATCCACCAATCTAACGAGAGCCTCTCGAGCAAGTCACCAGAAGGTTCTGCTGAGGCCATTGCCTTTTGCTTTTCTGAGAATGAAAGCGCTGCCCATTTGCCACGATCTTTGGCCAAGCCATTTTACTTCGCGGCGTTCGGACGCTGTTCGCCGCGCTCGCATTTGTTCCTTGTATCGCCAGGGAGCAGGCTCTTGTGTGTTTGGGCTCTCCCATCGCCCTTCCTTCCCAGAGCAAGCTAAGGTGAGTAACCCGACAAGAATTTCAAAAGCGCATTCGTCCCAGCTCCAGCTGCTGCGTGGAATGTTGTTCAGAAACGTTTGAAGCAGGGCGACAAGTTGGCCCGCGCGGTTCGTACGCGCCTCGGCGGTGGCGGGACACCTCCCTGTGCGCCGGCTGGGCCGCGTCTTTTTTTTGGATTGGGCCATGGTGGATATGGATAGGGTATAGCGCTGCTCGCGAGATGTGACTCTCCGCTCAAGGCCTGCGCAAAGGGAGATAACAGCGAGTGAAGAGCATGAAACTCAAGACCAGCTCCCCGACCTGTACATGTGGTTGCGTATCATCCTCACGCGGCCATCGAAAAAAGCTGAGCCATTCAAGAACGCAAAGCAAGAGGGAGGAACCCCAGTAGGAGTGGTCACAGAAATGAGCGGCCTGAGCCGCCTCCAACTCGAAACATCATGCAAGTGGCACCTGCCAAGTGGCGATAAGCTCGGGAAAAGCAAGGGCGTGTCGCATAGGGGGAGGTTCCTGACGGAGTTTCACCTGTTCAAGCCATGGGGTGGTCAATGCTGGGTAGCATTTCAAACAAACATCTTCGGCTGTTCTGTCTGCAGCTGCATTGCCTAAGGCATGATAGCGTTGCAGGTGAGGCAGAAGAGTGGGGTTGGCGTGGCCCTTAATCTTAACCGCCTGATTGACGCGATGGTTGGCCAGATAACGAACGCGTTGACAAAGAGCAGGTTGAGGATGCTTATGTAGGCGACGTCCACTAACCTCAAAGGCGCTGTGGTAAGTGGCAACGGCGCTGGCAGAACCAGCATGTATTATGGCATCCTAAAAGCATTCCTGAGCTCGAATGATGGCGAGAAGTTCTGCGTGATCGATATTCTGCTCTTGCAGACACAATTCCTGGACGACGCATGCAGGGTTGATGGGAACGTTGGACGTGCCAGCATCTCTCTGCGTCAGTTCGGCAAGAGTCAAAGACCCCACTATGACCAGCGTGACGAAGCTTAGGCAGAGTTGGGTTCTGGCAGCTATATTACCTGTATAAACATGAAACGGGTTGTCAACCGAAAGGCATCGTTGCAGATTGTCAAGCAGTGAGTTCCCTGGTTGCTGTTCCTGAAGGGCAAAAAAACTGGAACGTGAATCGAAACTCATCATCCATGGGTTCAAAAATCACAGGAAGGTCAGGCAATGTAGTGTCAACCTCCTTGAGATCAGAGATCAAGTTTGCGACGGTTCCCGAACATGCTGAGTTGCAGCGCAGGTGACACTCATGCAGGAGTGATCTGATCATCCCAAATGGCTTGTTGGCTACGGTTTTGAACAGCGCCTGCAATTTCACGGATCAAGAGCCGACGATCGCCAGGAGAGAACCTTGCTAGCGCCGCTCGAGTCAAATGCTGATCCCCGCATTAGGGAAATTATATCAATCAATGAGTTACGATATGTCTGCAGTGTAAGCAATCGATCCTGCCAGGCTCTATCCGCAAACCATACCAAAGTGGCCCAGATACAATCAAGACAGGCAAGCTTCGCAAAGGTGGATACTTGAATGTTCCCGAGTGTGTCAAAGGTCCAACCTAGGCGAGCAATATAAGACTATAAGATTTGAGCGTCGATGCTGGAGTTTTGGAGGTATTAATAGGCCTGGGAAAGTACTGGGCAACAAAACCAAAGAAGGATCAGTCTGGCGCTGCGGTCTCAAGAAAAACAAAAATCAGCGGGCGGCTCGCAAGCGTTAAAAATGAGATGGAGTTCAGGAACCCGAACAAACTTGGATGACATAATAAGGTGACCAAGGCAGAGGACATACCGCCTGAAAAAGACTCTCGAAGCCCTCTTCAAAGAGTTACCTGAGGCTGCTCGAGCCATAGGGCTCCATCACATCGGCGCGCAGACGCCAGCCCTCAGGGAATGAATGGAGCGCCAAAGGCCAAAGGTTGCAATTCATAATCCTCGCCAGTCGTGAGGAAAGGGCGTCGATGAGACATAGCGTATCTGCCTCAAAGCTGAGTTCAATGGCATCTGAAATCATATCCACTCCCATTTCAGACAGCGCTTGGCCAGCATAGGACCAACCACCCCGAACAAGCGCAAGGCCAAGACAGGTCCCTGTGACCTTTTTATCAAGAGGCAAAATGCAAGATCTCTCGTCAAGGTCAGCAGTTGTGTCTGTGGGGAGGCTGTGTTCCAAATCAGGCATTTACCAGTCAGGCCCTGAAGACACATATTGTGCGCGCTGGTTTGCCAATAATGGAGTGTCAACTTCTGGTTCATGGGCGCGTCAGCTCCGACCCACATTGAATCTCTCGGGATCTCTGCCACTCCACAACCTGCCGCGACCAAGTGCGTGGCCTCGAAGACAAACAGGCTGGAGGTACCAGCAAACTGGGCCTTTCAGCCAGAGATCCACCATGGTCGCCCCACAGTGTGAAGTCAGCCAGGATGGTGCGAATGCAAAAAGGGGGTGACACAGCCCAATCAATGTCCCACTCCTCAGACGGAGGGTTTGGACCTGAGCGGCTTCTAGCGATGGCCTCCAACCTCAATAGCGACGGCTTCCAACTACTAGGCCTCCAACCGCGTAGCAAAGGCCTCCAACCAGTCGCGATGGCCTTAGCGATGGCCGCCGACCTTATAGCGATGGCCTCCAACCTAGCACAGTAAAGACTTACAAGATAAGACTTGCTTCAGGAGAGACGTCTAGCAAGTGCCATGGCTTAACAATTGCACAGGTTTTTGTTGAGTTCGATCCTGAGAAGTGATTTGATGCCTTGACAGGAAGTCCGGGCATTGTGAAGGCAAGGTTGTCCGTATTTTTGTTTGCGCAATAGCTGATTCTGGTTTGTAGGCAACATGAAGGAGATTCAGGACAGTGAAAAGCAACATTGAAGATCTGCCAATGAAAAAATATTTATGAGTCAGATGAGACATTATCCAAAAACGATATTGAAGATGGCACTCTTGAATCCATTTGTATAAGACATGCGTTCAAAAAGGCCTTAGACCCTGCCCCGGCCCCCTTCGTGTCCACTATGAAAAGAGTACCTTCCAAACACCCTTCTCAGATCTTGGCCCCAAGAAGGAAGAGAGGGATCTTTTGTTTTGCCGAACCCAAGACTCGTTTGTGCAGGAGATCTTGCAACGCATGAGGCAACGAAGTCAGATGTTTGGAGTTAGAGGGATCTGCTGCGCGTTTTGCCTCCCAGGTCAGCTCTCCATGCCTCAAGTTTACCTGAAGTAGATGTGGCACTTGGCCTCGACAAACCAGGCGTTTCCTGCTTTTGGCTTTGAAGTTGCCTCACGTTGCAAGACACATGCTTCGCGTAGCGACTATTCGGCTTGGGGTCTTGGTGAGTTTGCTTCAAAGATACAGGCTTGCATTGGGGTGGATGGGAAGCAGAGAAGAGCCAGATTGTCAAGCAACTGGCTGCCCAGAGGACGTGGACTTAGTGGGAACACTTTGGCAGGGTTGTATGACACGTCCTCATGACTGATGATTAAGGAAGCAGATTTTGGAAAAGGTGGAAGTTGAGCCAAGAGTTGCCATGACTTCGGCACCAAAAGGAGTGGACAAGTCCATCATTCAGAAATGGTGCGAGGACCGGGTTTTGTCCGCAAATGTTCGTGTAACAAATCCAGCTATGCAGGATAGAGTTCGAGGGACAATCAAGTGGGCAAGCAGGGACAGACGCCAGAACAGGAGCTGCAGCTGCCGCCAGAGCTTTTATCGCGGTTGAATGATGAGGATGTGACAGATCCGCAGGCGGCAGTGTTTCCCAGAAAGTTTCGCAACACTTGTCACTGCTTTTGTGGGTACCAAAGTGCATGGCTACAGGAGCTGACAGAAGTTGGCGAGCAAGAGTTGGCAGCTTTGACAATGGGATTGAAGATTGGGCCAAAAGGCCGCTTCATGAAGGCAGTGAAGAGGCGACGGCGCTAGGGGTTTGGACATTGCGCTGGTGTAAGGAAGCTTGGGCTGTCAGTTTGTCAGCAGGATCTTAGCAAAGTACAAAGCAGAACCAGACCAGTCACTTTTGCATATTATACAAATTGTCCTCATCACTTTCGGCCATAGCTGCCTGACCATCGTCCCACCGAGATTCTCAGTTTCGATTGCTTTTCATGTGGACTTAAACTACCATGCGGTCGTTTTTGACAAGGTTGTTGCGGGTTGTTTGATTCATCTCTGATTCAAGGTGTAATTGTGGTCATGCAATTCACTTCTTTTGTTGCTGATATTGTCTCCCTTCCTCCCGATTGTGTTCATATCATATACCCACTGCAAAAAATGGAATCTTGTTGCGCCAACTGGGATGATGCTAATGCCGTGAGTATGATGTCTTTGTGATACACTCCGGGGACAAAACATTTGGTTGAATTAAAGGGATAACCCCACATCTATAGTTTTCTCAAGCCTGTATCATGTAGCACAAAGCCATGTCCGCGAGGGTCATGTGTTCCGCCAGTAGAGATCGAGGTTATGCATGTCCTTTTGTAGACGCAGTTCGTTTTGATCCTGCTGTAACAAAGCCGCGTTCTCTGTAGAATGGTTGGAGAGGGAGTCAGAGTCCAAGAGAGGCAATTGTGGCAAGAGCAACAGCAGGCCCTCCTATAGACTACAAATCACAAAGTCTGAGACGCATAAAGGAGAGCCGGCGTCCGGAGGCGACAATCGTGTACCCTTCGTCAGACCATCAAACCAGAACCGAAGAATGTTCCAATCGTGAAGAAAGAACAGACTGAGGAATCCCTGTTTGGTTCTCCGATGAACTCCATGAGATCGGCGGAACTCCCTGCCAATCCGATTCTGCCAGGTGATGCTGTTCGACCCGGAATGCGCCTAACGGAGCGCCCGGAGGTGACCCTCCTCCACCCGCGCCAGGGGACGGAGACAGGCCTCCAAAGGGAGATGGCGCCAAGCGGAAGAAATGCACAGATGGCGGAAGCGGTCCGCCGGACGACCCTGACCTCAAACACTTGCTCACAAGGGGAAGAAAAGCTCTGAGAACAACGCCAAGGAAACGGACCATATCAAGGTTCCTCCTTTTCCATATCCGGAAAGCTTTCGTGATTGGAAAGTCAAAGTACGAGATGCCGTTCGGGCAGCATCAAGGACACCAGACAAGACTTTCAAGTGGATCAACAAGGTATGGAAGGAGGGCACGGTGACTGCCGATTTGGTTGACCACAGAGGGTTTCACTACTCTGGAGGCAAAACTGTTGTCTGCCCTTTCGAACATTTGTTCAGGCGAGCTCGTAGGAAGGTGAACGCGTTCAAAGAGAGAGAATCAGCTGCAAATCGCCCTGTAAGAGGAAGGCAAGCAAGTGTTGTTGATGATGGGCGAGTTTTTCAGTACGAACATAAAGCACGGTGCTACCCATTCGCTGAAAGACTTGCTCGCTGTGAAGCTCAAGGGTGAAAACCTGAGAACCTTCATTTCTATTTGGGACACAGTCAATGCAGGAATCACGCATCCCCCCGACAAGTCTGTGTTGGAAACCCTGTTCTATGAACAAGTCAAGAACGTCCGTGCTATCCAACATGACATTGAGATATACAACCGTGCTGAAGAAGGTTCCGAAAACCATTCCTACAAGTTCCTTGTCGATGCAGTGCAGTTGTATCTCCGGAGGGCAAGGCCGGAGCCGAACCGTGATCGGATTGACAGCAGTGTCGGAGGTCTGAAACCGTCCGCTCCCGCAGTCGACGATGACCGGAAGAAAACTCCGTTCACCCCATGGACCAAGGGAAGTTACGCCAAAGAAAATTGCGCTTACGAGCGTGAGACTCCTCCAAAGAAAACTCGGAAACTGAGTCGGGGACGATCAACCAGTAGGGAAGGTAACGGCAAGTCAAAGATTCCGTGCAAGTGTTGGAAAGCCGGCCGCTGCAAGAGGGGAAGCGAACTTCTACCTCCGATGGTTCTCGTTGATCGAAGGGTTTAAAGGGTTCAGGTGGTTCGCGCAAGTCCTCGCCAAAGAGTCACGCCTGCTGCAGTGTGCCTGGTGGCGTCGATGCCTGCGTCATCCGTTGAGGGACTTGCCACCGGGAACGGTTGGCCGTGCGTTGCACGCCCAGCCAGGGTGAAGGTGAAATTCGAATTGAAGCCGAACATCGCTGAATATACCGCAACTGGTGACCTGTTCCTATACGAAGTTGGAAGGAACCCATCGAAGTTTTACCCAACCGATTTTGCTATGAGCCCAAACCCATCAGCCGTTGAAGATTCGATCCTTTCGGCAAAGATGCTTGCAGGTGCTGTCCGACATGAGTTCGAAGGGTTCAAAGCCAGGGGCGCTTCTTGTGTAAGTCCACAATAGGTTGTGACCGTTGCATACCCAAGAAATTGTATGCGACGCCCGCCGCTTCTGAACATCAGGTTGAGAACTATCTTCTTTCAGGTGAAGATTGGATCGCCGATACTGGCAGTGCTCAAGACCTTGCAACAAAGTACGACGCTCCTGACAAGTACCAGTTCTACTCCGATCGGCCCATCTCAAACATCACTGCAAATGGTGAGAGATCATCATACCTTCAAGGTAAGGGCCGGAGCGAGATGCTTGGACGCTTGGATGCAACTTTACACCGTACTTGCAAGAGTCGACTCCACCTGTCATGTGCGTAGGCGTGAAATGCATGGACGAGGGTTATGATTTTGTTTGGAGAGCCGGAAAGGATCCATATTTTCAGAAGCCTGATGGAGCCAAAATTAAATTCGTTTGATAGTTCGAGACTATGGCGCCGCTAGAAAGCCATGCCTTGCAAGTCTCGCGCCTGACCCGTCGTCGACGCCGGTGTTCGCTCTGGCGCTTCTTCATCGTTGACTTCCTCTTCTACGTCCTCCACCTCTACCACACCCTTGGCCCTACCTGCCGAAGTCGCGTCGGGCTCAGTTGATGCGGGGGGAGGGGATGATGATGTTAGGGAGAAAGAAGAAGAAGCCAGCCGGAAGGCTGAGCCGCAAAGCGTCGCTAATCGCAAAATTCGAGGGATGATTCTAAACCTATGACGCCCTAGACGGTCAGGTACCAGGACCCTAGGTGGCAGAAAGGGGACGGGAAGAAGCCTTGCTCAAAGAGCAGGCGAGGGAGGCGAGTCAATCGCACACATGATGAACCACATTCCCAAGAATGAATTTTGCGATGTTTGCCGTAAGGCAAAGATGATCAAGTATCCCTCAAGAGCTGGCGGTTCGAGGCAATTTGAAGCTGAAGGTTTCGGGATCACGTTACAGCAAACTTCCTTATCACTGCGAAAGGTGAAGAAGCGGGTGATGAGGATGAAGGTGTTGGTCTTGTTGTAAAAGACGTGTATTCAGGGTTTACCTACTATATGTACCCATCTGCACGAAAGGATGCAGAATCAACCATCATTTCTTTCAAGCACGTTGTCTTGGATGCAATGCAAGGCGAAGGTCCTGTGTGAGGAGTGAAGCAAGAATTGAACTTGTTGATCAGCCTGAGCTGCCGCCGCTTGAGGAGCAGGATGCCGACATGAACCAACCAGAGTCATTTCCGGTTGAAAAGCTTGAGAGGGATGTTAGGCCTAATGCAGATGCAATAGGAGGCAGAGCATTCTGGAATGCAGCGTGGTTGGCTTTCCTCAGAGCCCAGAACCCCGATGGTTCAGAGAAACTTGGATGGTTCACATACGGGGGGTGTCAGGTCAAGTTGGACTTGTTCGCAGGTGAGTTTTGCGACCCCAGACCTACATACCCCACAAAGGACTATCCAGTTCAATCTGCTGTTATGCAATCGGGTGATTGAGGATTCATGGCGTGTAATTGAGGAAAATAACGTTATTGAACCATGGCAAGACAAGTTCAAGGCGCCTCTTCCTGAACGCGGCTACACCGCGTCCATATTCTCAAAGGCCAACATTGAACTTAGAATTCGAGAAGCCGAGAGAGACAAGATTGCAAGTCAAGAAGAAACTGAGGTGATTGATCCTGCTACCGCCAAAGTTGAACACATCAAAGCCAATGATCCAAGGTACTACAGCGCCGATGGATTCAAAAGCTAGGGGCTAAAAAGGATCAAGCAAACCGATGCACATTCCACCATTCCTGTGGCAACAAATGTCAGTTGCGCAGAGACGCAAAGCCATCAAGAGAACAGAAGAAGATTGCTACCGAAGAGGCAGAAAAAAATGCCAAACAAGCCGAGAAGAAGAGGAGCCTGCCGGAAGGCGAGGCCGGGCTCGAATCCGTTCCAGCTATGCCAACCCTGAATAGGCAGAGACGTAGGCGTCGGGACAAGCTCCTCAGCATGACTGGATGGCAACTTGAGAGGGCAATCAACGGCCTTGTTGCGAGACCAGGAACCGGAAGCAGATACTTTCGAACCCTAAAGCCAAAGAGTCACTTGACGTGGAGTCGACGTGGAGTGGAAGAAACTCGAAAAGATATCGCCAATGAGGCCAAGAGATCAGGCAAGCAGGTGCGCTGGCAAGGTGTTCGAAATCTGCGTTGAAAAGAGCTCGGAACTTCCCATTGCGATCCACTTAGGAAATTTGGCATTGCTTTCCGAACTAGGGTCTTCTCCGGCGACCACGCAGAGGCAGGCAAGGTATAGCTATGCCTACGGCTCCCAGCCTGGGTGCACTGCCGAGCAGGCCGACGGAAAGCAGCGTACACCCAAGCACTCACGCAAGGGGCCGACGCCTGGGTCGAACTCCCCAAAGATCGATGGCCGAAGGAATGGGTAGGGCGTGCTGACTTCGCATTGCATTGTATGGATGCCCGTTGGAAATCCACTGTGAACGCATGTTGGTTGAGGTGGGGTTCCTCACGCCAGACCCGGAAGGATGGCCGTCAGTGTTCTTTCACGATGTTTGTTGGCTAGTTGTATACGTGGATGACTTTAAAAAATCCGGACCGAAAGAACCAATGAAGCGAATGGGAACTCATCGGCCCCTGCAGGATTGACGTGGACAAACCCGGTACGGCCGATACCTCGGATGTGATCATGTGTTTGCCACTGGGGTCAAACTCATCATGATCATCCCTTCGCACGTGTGCTGGACGAGTCGTTGCCGGATCCTGCGCCCTGGCGGCCGCAGCCGCGCAGCACCTCGCGCAGGACTATTGGGACTTTGCGCCTGGGCAAGGATATTATGTCAAGCATCACGTTCAGCCTCGGAAGAACAGTTATTGGCCTGAGCCTGAAACTGTCACAGACATCAAGTTGTCCGGTGAGCGCAGGACTATCATTGAGCCATGCGCGCCGGAAGGTATTGACGAAGAGATTCGCACGCACTCCATGCCGTGGAAGAAACCCATTGTTGTGGACAGGAACTACGTATTGGTTTTCTACTGCTGAACCGCAAAGGGTGATATCCATGGTCAGTACAACCGAAACAAAGGTGAAGCAAAGAACAAAGCACGTAGTGCTCGTTTCTCAAACCTTGACCAACTGAAGGACAAGACCCAACCAAGCGTGACGAAAGCGGTCAACTGTGTCACGTACGACATGAAGCCCTTCTTGCAGTCCTGTGTTGATCGTTACGTTCAACCAGCTGGCGACAAGAACATGTGTCTACGCCGTTACATGACGAACGTATCGCGCGGCCGGCGCAAGATGAGAAGGAGGAGAATTGCTCCCATGACTGCGCGAGTGTTAATGAAGATATTGTTTGCAGCGCGAATGGCAAGATTTGATCTCTTGCGTGCAGTCCAGGGACTAGCCGCGCAAGTTACCAAGCAGTCGACCGACTGCGACAAGCCCTCCACCGACTAGTATGCTATGTCAACTCCACGCTTGATGACAAGCTGACCGCCTTTGTCAGGGACGCTGTGTCTGCCTGTAGGCTCTGGATTTCTGCCACCTAGCACACCGGGAGCATTACCACTCCAAACATGGTGCATGGTGCCACAAACCTTCCGGTTTGCGTACAGGACATGAAAGCCGACAAATGAATTGGGAGACGGCTAACGTTCCCGTTAGAGCTACAAACACAGATTCCTGAACATCTGAGATGCCAGCGAGGAAAAGCAACCAAGCACGGCCAGCATTCATCCACGGTCGACGGCTGCTCTTTGCCCTTGCCCTTCGGCTGCTCGATCTTGCCCTAGCCGGATCCCTTCGAGGCCCGGGCCTTGCCCTTCAAGGCGATGTCCTGGGCGATAGTGCGTTCAGGCGGCCCGATGGTCACGACGGCAGAGCTCGATGCAGCAGCAGGGATCGCTCCACAGGACGCCACTCACATGCTTTTGGAGCTCATGGGCGTGGGCCAGCGCTCTTGCCCTGAGCCTTTGCTTTTAAGCGGCGCAGGCGCTCTTGGCGGTATTGAAGACAATCCCGAAACATCCTGAGGGCGGCGCCTTCCCCTTGCCCTTTGCTTAAGAAACCCGATTTGATATTCTGATTGGCGGTAGACCTGCAAGAGAATGCGCTGACTTTCTTGCGGGCGCAATCCACGATGCTCAACCTGTAGCCAAACTCATTCGCAGCGTCAGGCCAGTTGAGCTTGGCAAAGGATGACACATCGGCAAGCGTGCTCTCGGCCGAGCCTTCCGGCTGGCAAGTTTTCCCGTTCCATGTGATGATGATGGGGGGAGGAAAGCCTTTCGAGAAAAGCGCGAAGTCCACGTAGGTCGCAAGCCTGCGTTTGCGGGCGATGAATGCCCCCTCGACAATGTCGCGCGCAGGATCATCGTCTCCTCCAGAAAGCTTCAAGATGAGGCACAGCAATGTGGAGCGGCTCTCCTCCTCTTCATCGTCGGAATCATCATCGCCACCCTTCTTGCCTTTCTTCCCTCCCTTGCGCTGATCTGCCGTCCGGCCCAGCTTTGGATTTAGGCTGCGTCCGGGACGCTGAAGGAAGTCCAACGCTTCTGGGGTGAGGTTGGGTCGGGCACAATTGACAGCGTAGAACGGATCAGTTTCCAGCCGTTGCGGCCTTGGTCTGCCGAGCTTTCCTCAGATGAGGTTTTCAATTGCGCAGGGAGCCCCGTAAAGATCGGCTTCGGCCTGCGCTCGCGCGGCTTCAGTGGCGACTCTGGCGTCTGGCCAGATTTTACAAAGGTCGCACCAAAGCCTGCCCTGCCAGCGCTCAGTGCCACAGAGCGGCGTTGAGCGCTTTGATGTGCACCATGGGGATGCGAAGAATCGCATTCACGGCAATGTGGGGTTGCAGGCCACAGTGATCACTGCCTCTGGCCCAAGCTCGATTGCTATTGCGATACGCGCTTTCGCAGTCCGGCGATGTCAGAATTCTGAACGATCGCACAAGGCGCTGTACATGTAGCCCGGAAGCTTGAAGCTCTTCTGATCTTCCGCCTGCGCCTTCTGGCGAGCGTCATGGCAAGCTTATACGATCGAGCCGTTGACAACCCGTGCTTTCGGACCAGCCCAGTTAACTGTCCACCAACGTGAAGCTCTTCATCTGAGTAAGCCGGGACAGCTGGAAATGAGCTGGAGCGGTCGGATCATTCGGGTCCGCCTCGCGAACGTCTGGGGGTCTCTTTCCTGAACTTGGGATGGGCGGGTTGCTCCAGCCGAAACCTTGGCTCACGAGCATTGAAGGCGAACATGATGCGCTTGTTGAAGACCCAATCGAGGGACCGCAACGCCGTGTCCGTTCTGAAGAGGCGGACACCTCCTTTTGGATCATCGTGAGCTCAACGTCAAACGCGATGTATAGATGGGTTGTCCGGCTCGCGTTCCCGCGAGCAATTTCGCATGTTGCAGATCCACAGAGGGGTCACAGTAAAGTAGTTGTACCCCCAGCTTCCGGTCTTTCGAGGAAAACCTCCAACGACGAGACCATTCATTGATGATGTCGCTGAGCCCTCGCGGGTCTGTCGAATGGTAGATGATGCGCGGGAAGTTCGCGCACGTGCGCGAGGTCTCGGGGTCGCTGTTGTAACCGCGGTCGAGTTTCTCGACGTCAAACTCATCACCCAAGGAGTATAAAATCTCCTGGCAGACGGCGCGGTCGCCGATCCGCTCAATCACCCAGCCTTTATGCCCCTCGACCGCCTCCACTGCTGTCGGCTTCCACGGCATACCTTTCCAGTCAGGTAGATCCTTCCGGGCCACCAGGAAGACACATGAGCTTGAAGCGATGATCGTCGTTGTCCTTGATACAGACAAAGGGCTTCGAATTCCTGAAGGTTGGCGATTTCATCCTTGAGGTGGCGGATGATCGAGCCCCAATTCTTGGAGCCGTCCTCTGTCGTTTGAACTTGGGGGGGGTGAACCGGCCCCGCTGCTCTTAGAACCCTGAACATCGTCCTTCCCGTCCATTGTTGCTTCATGGGATACTCCCCGTGTCCTCCATGCAGTTGTCCTGAATCAGGTCGAAAGGTTTCCTCTTACGTGACATGATGGTGGGTGTCGCGCGCCAGTCCTAGTCTTCCGATTGGAATGGGAAATTGCTTGTCACTGCAGCGCATACGCCTACTTAGGTCATATTCTCGAGCTTCGGGCCGTTTGAAAACCCCCCGCGTTCTGGAGGTCAGGTGAAGCCATAGCCGGAGGAAGGCAACGCAGCGATACATTTGCAGACACAAGGTACTGGACATGGAGACTGGCGTCTGCTTCTTGCTAAATGCAATGAGTGGGTGATACGTGTTGGGCCAAGAAGCAACCACTAGCGCTGCGATTATCGTATTCCCCTGCGCGATCGGAAACGGGAAACCTTAGCCATTTCATTCATTTTGCTTTTGCAGCCGTCCGCTTCGAGCGTGAAAGGATCCGAGCCTTGATCCACATTGTGCATAGCTTTGTCAGCCCGCTCTGAGGTCATCTTGGGCTGATGTTCTGCCTCTTCGGTGCCGCCCGTGACCGGGCCGCGCCGCGGGAGTTATTTTTCACCGCTAGTGCATGCACAGATACCTACTGTACCGTGTGCTTTGGCTCAAGAACAAAAAGGTGTGTCTTATTGGCTGTTGCCTGTTTGAAACAATATATGCAACTTGAATGGATGGAGACGAGGGACGAGACACGGGAACGGCTTGACTCATTCAAAGGGACATGCAAAGGTGACTAGCGCATAGATAAACCACACATGTGGATATAGATCGTATCTATAGATGTAAAAATTGACATGCTCGTTGTGCCTGGAAGGGAAAAGGGGCTGCTCCTTAGGACTTAAACCTTTTTACTCTTTAGTAACTCTTCAAACTCAACCGGTCTAAGCATGTTTGTTGTGCTCAGCGTTCACTGTTGCGTTGGCAAGGCCCTCGCACTATACCAGGGCTGTGCACCATGTTCCCTCCCCCATACGCTAGAGAACTTCATTTGTGGATTTGCGCGCGGCGCAGGATGAAAACTCTCGAAGCCGCAGAGCTAGGCTCTACGGCGTCAATTTCTTGAGCAGCCCCGAGTTGCAAAACGATGCCGCGTTTGCTCTTGAAGTGCTCATTTGCTCATGTTGTCGTGGTCCGTTGTGGGAACGGATTTTTCCACCGCGCAGGAAATGCTCAATCATTGTTTGCGTTTTTTGTGTCAAAATTCCACCAAACACGCAGTGGAAACGTGCTTCCAGTTTCTGTTGCACTGATAAGGCACACTACAAAAACAAATTCGGATGATATCGAAGACAATCGACAAGGTTTTGCAACCATGTCGTTTTAGTGACAAGCAATGTTGTGGGATCTGGGCCAGGCGCACGTGGCAGGAATGGATTGAAAGGTTGAAGGTCCACTCCGGCCCAGCCGACTCAAGGTCCATGGCAGGACCGCTTGGACTTCGCGGGGAGCTAGTGAAAATTCTGAGATTTTGCAGGGTAAGGCTTGGTTTAGCAATGTGTTTTTTTTTCATTGTTTTTGTTTTTTCTTTTGTAGTGCGTTCATCCCTGTTCAGGCGCAGCTTTTGCAAATCTTGAGGAGGTCAAGAAGTAGGTGCCACTTGAGCAGAAAGCAGACAGCTGAAACCAGGAGAGCGTGTTTTTGGTGAGCCTCAGGGAAGAATGGGCAGATGCGGCTGCTGGCCTTTGTTTGGGGCAAAAAATGGTTGCTTCCGAGCGCCCCAAACCATGGGCACCCCTGACCATTGCAAAAGGGGGCTTAGCAAGATTGACGCTCCAGGTACGCAAAAACGATCGAAGAAGCTTGTTGCAGGATCCTGATTTCTGATTTCTTGTTTGCAAAAAATAGCATAGGACCTAGGATGTTGGACGTTTGTTGGCATGAGGTTTTCGGAAACTTTGGGAAGTAGCGTTGGCTACATTGGAAGACATGCGTGAGCAAGGCCTCGCAGTTTGCGAATATCATGCTACAAACGCATTTGTACAACATCAGGCATCCCTCGCAATGCGCCTGTGTATGTGGCGGCAATCAGATCATGTGGGAAAAGCTTTTGCCTTAGTTTACAAAAGATTATTGAAACGAGACTGTTGATGGAAAGAAACAAGCCACACCTCAAGATGCCATGCCGATGGCCCATGGACCTGTGCAACATGAGGTGCTTGGAGACACGCGCTATCGTTTTTGGACGATATTCAAGCTGATCGGATGGAACAGGGAACGGCCTCTCACAAGGCCTTGTCCCCCCGCTTTTCCACCATTGTTTTGCTCGTTGTTTTTGGGCTGTCGGCTAGCCAAAGGCTACATTGAAAGTGCTAGAACACGCTGGTCGCTGGAAGGAGGCATTGCCATCTCAGGGTTTGTCGATGTGGAAGCAAAGCAAGATAGGGTGCTTGGTATTAGCAGGGCCTCAACAAACATTGACACTTTAAATATATAGACTTCCTGTAGGTGCTGGCGATTTTGAAACGGATGCAACAGAGCGGTCCAACGCCCGGTCTGGTATTGGCGGCATGCTTGCGCCGCAATCAAAAAGGCCATTGGGAAATTGGCAAAGAGACGGACGTTTGGCCAGGAAGAATATTCCTTGGCGTTACGGGTTTGTTGCAACAGGACAGAGTTTAGGGCTTGCATTTCTGGAGGTTTTTTTTCCAGCTGTCAGTGCGAGTTCACGAGGAAGTTTTGGGACTTTGATGCCTTAGCCATTCAGTTTATACATGTATAGAAATACACCTATCGGTATATGTGAGTATCATAGATTAGTGTGTATATAGTCATTTTCACAAGGCAGAAAACTTGTTTGGCAGCCTCTGACATGCACGTTGACGTGACCCTTCGGAATGCTGCCGGTACGACGGAAAAGGCCCGTCGAAAATCTGTATCTCATGAAAGCGACGCACGCGCACGCGCAAACACACATGTATTATATAATATAGTAATATATATATATATAGTGAAACCTAAACGTTGAAACTCAGAGTCCATGCACTTTGGAATGTCGATGCCTGACCGCATCCTTTCAACCTCTAAGTCAGCAGGTTTGGGTGTGCAGGGGCGCGCGACATGGACGGAGACTGGTGAGGACACCAGGAGAGCACTTGGAGACAAACAAGGTTGCGCGAGCGCCAGGGGCGTGGTTCTTGGGAAGGGTCCGGTGGCTACCTTCGTGGAATCTTGCCCAGTCCACATTGGTAGCGGAGCTAGCTATGGTCGAATAGCGTGAGTGAGATTGGACACCCGCGTGTGTGTTGTACATTGTGTTGGTTGTGCGCTGTACATTGCGTGGGATTGCGTCGGTTGTTACAGTGTTGTGAGCTGTTCGGAAGCCGTTGATCCAGGATGCTTGAGGGTGAGAGCTCCACACGGCTCCTTGTCCCATCTTCCTCGGGGGATGATCCCTGCTTTCAAGCCCGACATCAATGAGTACACCAAGAGACTGGAATTTTTGGCAGGCCGCAGGCCTATGGCCAACAGAGAATTTGTCTCATTTGGCTCCCAGAGCTGGTATGATGTGCGACGGGGGTGCCTTCAAGCGACTGATGAGGATTGACGCCGGAAAATTGAAGGTGAACAGTCTTGAGGGCATCAATCTGTTGGTTTCTACGGTGAGTGAAGTTTTTGACTGTTGACAAAGCAGAGCATGAAGAGGAATTCGAGCATTTTGAGTGTGAGTCCGCTCTATAGCAAGACATCACTTCCAACTTGAAGAGTTGGCGTCCCTCGGAGTGACGTTGGAAAAGATGAGAGCTTATAGTTTGCTTCGCAACTCAGGACTCCAGAAGAAGATCATCATGGACCCCGCTGGAAAGCTTGAATACGATCAGCTGGTTGCATCCTTGAAAATTGCTCCGGTCGAACAACTTCACGGAACTTCAGGCTGGGAAGACTTCCACCATACGAGCCACTGAATGTCGCAGACGAAAGAAGATAAGATGCGACGATGAGGGCACTCTGTTTCAGGACACTTGGGAAGACGAGAAAGAACAAGAGCGACCCAGAGACCACATCCTGCTTCATCGTTACATCGAGCCCGACGGAGGATTTCGGAACGGAACCGGAATCGGGAGGCAAAGGGAGGACCAAGGGCCCAAGGGCTTTGGCAAACATCCCCTGAGCATCCGATGTTGATTCCAATCAATAGTTTCCTATGAAAAAATATTGATATTGATTTGCCTTGAATATCAATATCAAAATCAATATTTTCTATTGATTTGGTTTAGGTGTTTTCTGTTGATTTTGATGTGCCCTTTTCCTTCCAAAATATGATGAAAATATTGATTTTGATCTTGATTTGGATATTGATTTTGGACACCCCTTTTCAGTTTGCAGTTTTGGCTGTGAGAGTGTGAACAAGTATAGGGAACCAAGAATGACCAGAGGTGGGGCCAGGCACAAAGCCAAGGCTTACATAGACCCATCCTTGCTGCTGCAAGTGATGGGCAACCATGGGGACTTGCTGGCTGATCTGGGATCCTATGAGAGCAGGAACAAGCAAGGTGCTGTGGACCCTGCTGGATTGGTCAGGTGCCTACCCCTTGTGAAAGGGTTGTTGGGTGTGTGCCCCAGAGCAGAGGTTCCATCAGCTCCTCTGAGGCAAGCTCTTTTGAGCTTGCTCACCTCTATGCCAGAGGTGAACAAGAGCAAGTTCAATGGCAGCACATGGAGCAGCCTGAAGGCTGAGAGGCTGACCACCCTGTTTGCTCATGTGAGGCGGTTGAAGAGGGACAATGACCAAATGAGAATTTGCGCTGCAAAGCTCAGTGGCTCATCCTACACTTCCCTACAGGAAGCCATTGGCATGGTGACCTTGCCAGAGGAGGAGGAGCCCTTGGAAAAGGGTGAGGAAGCTTCCTTGAAAAAGGAAATTGCTGCAAAGCTGCCCTTGCAAAAGGGAAAAGCTGCTGATGAGATTTCTGTGGATTCTCATGGTGTGCCTCTGATCTTTTGCACACCAGACAAGGCAGGCAGCTCGTCCTCCAGACCAAAACCCTTCATCAACAGAAGGGAAGGCACCATGGTCCATGGACATAGCTCTCAGGCCTTGCAAAAGGCATTGGGATATGGTACCACTGAGCCAGCAGCAGCCCTTGCAAAAGGGAAGGTCCCTGCCAAAACCCTTGCAAAAGGGAAAGGCAAGAGCAACAATGCCTCTGCAAAGGCCCTTGGAAAAGGGAAGGGTGACAAAGCTGCTGCCAAGGCCCTTGCAAAAGGGAAAGGCAAGGGCAAGAAGGCCTCTGCAAAGGCCCTTGCAAAAGGGAAAAGGGATGGCAAAGCCTCTACAAAGGCCCTTGGAAAAGGGGAAGCTTCTGCAAAGGCCCTTGCAAAAGGGCAAAAGAGGCCCCTTGAGAAAGGGAGTGAGGGCTCCTGGTATGCCTTGAGAAAGACAAATGCCAAGAAGCCCGAGAGAACATATATCACAGGTGTCTTGGCACCAGGGAGTGGCCACCCAAGGAAGCTTATTGTGGAGGTTCCAGCCACTTGGAGCTCTCAGCATGACTTGATTTGCAACAAAATCATGAAAGCCTTGGAAAAGGACAGCCTCAGCAAAGCAGAGGCCTTGAAGATGAGAGAGGAGCTAGTGGCAGCCTACCCTTGAGATGCTGTTGCCAAACACCCTTGCCAAAGGGTGAAGAGCTTGCTCACCCTTGCAAAAGGGTGCAGCCCTTGCCAAAGGGCATGAACCCTTGCAAAAGGAAGCAGCCCTTGATAAAGGGCATGAATCAATCCTTGCAAAAGGTGTTCCTTGCAAAAGGATGGAAGCAGCCCTTGATAAAGGGCACAAATCAATCCTTGCAAAAGGTGTTCCTTGCAAAAGGATCGAAGCAGTCCTTGGTAAAGGGCATAAATCAACCCTTGCAAAAGGTGTTCCTTGCAAAAGGCTGGAAGCAGCCCTTGGCAAAGGGTGTGACCTAAAAGGATACCCTTGGGAAAGGGTTCTGCACCAAGACCTTGAGAAAGGGTTTTGTTAAAGCTAGGCCTTGAAAAAGGTTTGTACATATGTACATGTATAGCTGGATATAGTGCTAGCATCTTGGAAAACAGCTGCTGCTGCTGCTTCTAGCTGCTTTCTGGTGTTGGTTTCTTCTAGTTGTTTTTTCTAGGGAGGTGTTGTTGTTTTTCTTCTTGGTTCATGTGTTGGGTTTTGGTTTTGTGGTGTGGGTTTGGTGTTCATGCCTTGATGCACCTGCAGCCATTTGGGCTACAAGCGGCTCAGCTGAGCCATCTGTCAGGGAGACCCCTTGCAAAAGGATCCATATCCCTTGCAGAAAGGACATTGCTCATTACCTTGAAAAAGGACCTTGCAAAAGGATTGCCAGCCATGCCCTCAGCCAAGAGATTGCGAGGGTGGAAAAAA